TAGATTGTTTTTTGGTTCCCCCGGGCTTCCCCTTGGGGCGGAAAACCCCCGGGGTTTTGGTTTTTCCGGGGTTTCCTTTTTGCGGGGGCCCCTTCTTGTGTAAATTTCCTTTCCCCGGTGTTTTTGTTCCATTTTTTTGTTTGGAGGGTTTGTTTTTCCGGGGAAAAGGGGGGGGGGGGGGGGGGGGGGCGTTGAAGCGGTTGGATACGGTAAGTGAAGGGTGGCGGCTTTCTTCCTGCGAACAGCGGGGGTGTGGAACTGACATCAACAAGCCTCACGTTGCACGCGAATGACACACAACCGCAAGGCAGAACCAGCAGCAACCGCAACCGCAGCAGAAAGAACAAAAGACAACAGCAGCAGCAGCAGCAGCAGCGCCAAAGAAGACAGCAGCAACACCACCAACAGCGGCAAGGCAGAACCAGAAGCAACAACAGCAGCAGTAGCAGCAGCAGCAACAGCAGCAGCAGCAGCAGCAGCAGCAGCAAGAAAGACAGCAGCAACAACCACTAACAACGGCAAGGCAGAACCAGAAGCAACAACGCCAGCAGCAGCACCGCCAGCGGAAGCGACAAATGAAACAAACGCTCACCGGTCCGATGGCACCCCCGACGTGGCGTCGGCACCCTTCCGAAGGAAATCCCAGAACGCCTCGGGACTGTCACAGCCTCCCGGGAAGCGGCAAGATATGCCCACAACCGCCAGCGAATGACCGCTTCCCCCTCCGTCTCCGGATTCCGTGCTGCTGGTTTGGCAATGCCAGGTGCGGGGGGGGTGGGTTGGGGGGGGGAGGGGGGGGGTGATGTCGGCGAGAGGAAACAAGGTTTGCTGGAGACAAACGGGACAGGCAGCGAGAGAGATCGATGAGGAAAAATCAAAGGAGCGTTAACAATCAGTCGACCTTGGCGCAAAAACCGTACCGCCACCACGAGGCAGTCAAAAATCAACCAATTACAGTAGTCCACGAGTGCCTTGACCTTTGTCCAAAAATCGCACAACCGCCACCACCACCAAATCAATCTACACCAGTACGGTGCCTCGCTCTACATGTACCTGGCCTGAGGACCATCCGTCGCTACGCCGTCTCCAGCCCCCGTCTTGCTCAGAGCGCCTTCCACGTGCTCAGCGATGTGTCTCGCAGTGGGGCAGTCGAACACCGTTGTCGACGAGACCACCGCCTCGGCTCCCGGCAGGCCGCCGGACACCCAACCCCCGCTCGACAGGCGCTCTTGCAGCCTGCCCACGAACTCCTCCGCGGTGATGGAGTCGAAGCCAGCGTCGAAGAGGGCTTGGTCCGGGGAGATGGCACGACCCTGCCGAGCGTCAAACAATCATGTAAGGGAGGGGGTTTCGAAGAGGGATTGATGTTTGAGGTACCCGTAACGAGCGGCAAGAAAGAAAAATGTAGTACGTACATAGTAGTTGAAATGCATTTTTCTTGGAGGGACGGGTGACTGCTTGGTTCGTTAGCCTTGATACAAGGTTCAAAGGACCCAATCTCATGCATAAACTAATTAAGTACATTTTTCTGGAGTCACCAGCCGGAGTCATAGAGGAGGAGAAATGTCACACAGGAGTTTGTTGTTCGCCTTCCTTCCGCAATGCTTGCCTTCGTTTTCTATCGCGACAAGGATTCACCCGTTCCTTTCCCTCGTCGACCGTGCCGTCGGATTTTGGCGTGCGCAACGAAAAACTACATTGCTTCTTGCCATTTTGAAGGATACGCAATCCTCGCACCTATCTAGAGCACCAACCAGTCTACCAGCTACCACAAGCAGCAACGTTGGTGGACGAGGTTAAACCACGAACAAACCACGGGGGCGTTGAGCTCGCAAAAGACGGGTCTGGGGTCTGCCCGGACGATGACTTACCCTGAGAACGTCCGTGGCCGTGCTGACGACGAGCTTGGTCAGCGCGTCCAGCCTCTCGTCCTTCTGCCTCGACAGCAGGCTGGCGTCGCCGTCCGACGACTCCCTCCCGGCGGCCCCCCCGGCGTTGTCGTCACCGACCCCCCGGGGTCCCCGCAGCTGGTCCTGCCGGAGACCCTCCCCCCCCTCTTGATATGCCCCCAAGGAGTCAGTGCTGCCGGCAGTAGCAGCACCTTCAGACCCCCCCGTTGGCGGCTGTGAAGCCGTGGGCGATGCCACAGCAGCAGCACCAGCGGCGGCGGCGGCGGCGGCATCAGAAGCTTCAGACGATAAGGAGGAGGAGGAGGCCGGGCGGGGGGGCACCGGTACAGACGCGGACACCCAGGAAGACAGCGACGACGACAAGGACGATGGTTCCGACCCCGATTCCGACGAGGTCGACGCTGCTGCGGCTACGCCCCCCCCCGAAACTGCGGCGGCGGCGGCTGTAGAAGAGGCCGGCTCCAGAGCGCCAGACTTTTCGAGGAGGTTTGTTCAGCCGGGGAGAAGGAAGACGGGTCAGAGCATCGTCCGAAGGGGGGGGGGGATAGGAAGGAAAGTGTCGGGTCATTCGGACACCACGACATTCCCGCTCTGTTTTAGAAATGTAGGGACCATTGGGACATTCACACTCGGATCCGAATGGTCCGTGTATTTTCCAACAGAGTGATGGTGCTTTTGTTCAGCAAGTTTTTTTTTGTTTGCGTTTTTGTTGTTTGGGCAGTGGAATTCAAACCATAGGCCAGCCAGCCGCTGATTAGTTTATAAATTAGTCATACGCAGCTGTCATCCGTACGCAAGGAAGTAAGCGCAAGATGCCGACCACCGTTAGCAGGATGCAGCGCCCCCTTCATGGGATTCGCCGAATACCTCAGGGCGTTTCGCGCTTGGTGATGTGAGAGCCTGTTCCGGGGAGCCCCCGGCGTGTTCCGTCCCGGTTTTGGAGGGATGGGAGGTCAATGGTTTAAGGATTACGGCATGCAGGATTTTTGGGTCCCCCCCCCCCCCCCCCGGTCTCACCGGTGCGGTGAGCTCGGTGATGACCGAGAGTGCACCCTGGTGCAACATCTCCCTGGACCTGCGGCGCTGAATCTTGCCGCTTGTGGTCTTGGGGATGGTCTTCTCCTTGATGGCCACCTGTGAAAAAAAAAGGGGGGGAGATAGAGAAAAAAAAAACGGCTTGAAAACAAACTAAACCAAAACAAAAAAGGTGGCACGATCGGTCGCATCACCCTCTCTCCCCCGCAGTGGTTTTCCGCCAACGTTATTGTGGCATGTTCTTTTCGGGGGAGGTTGTGGCTGTTGCACGCGAGAACGACAGCAGCGGAATAATGATGTTCGGAAAGAAACGTTGAGGACGGCGACACTCGCGCATGTACAGGACAATAATGGGTACAAGCAAAAAATAGTACACTAAAAGTCTAAACGAGGAACGAAAAAGGCGTGTCGAATAAAGAAAAAAAGAATGGAACCTCCTCAGGAGGAGGTCAGACTCACCACCCTGGAAGGATAGCACCCCTCGGAGGCGATGGCGCGTCGGACGGCTTCCAGGCCCTCGGAGAGACCGTCTGGGTCCCCTTCCGCGCTCTTACGCACCTCCAGCACCACCTTGCGAATATTAAAAACATAAAAAAAGTTCCACAAAAACGAGCCGGCAGAGGCAGGGCAGGATTAACAACAAAGGAAACGAAAAGAGGGAAAAATGGTTGAAGACAACAAGAACTGAAACCATGCACGCTGTCGTGCTCTTGATGGCATTTACTACCACACGGTTAACTTCGAGGGATACAGCAGCATACAGAGCCAGCATCGCAACCCGTACACAGAGGAGGGAGGAAAAAAAAAAGAAAAAAAACACGACATGCTGCGGAGCTGTCAGGCATTCCAACTATCTACAATGTTGTACATCCCTTTTTGTGTGGAGGGGGGGTTCAGAGAGGAGTGCTTCTGCGATACCCCTGGCGAGAGGTGCGTAGACAGTCACCGAGACGCTCTCCCTCCACACGTGCTCCTGTACTCTCCTCCGCTCTCCTACTCTCTCCGGTCAACTCCCAACCATCACCTCTTGGGGGTTGGTTTTGGTTCATCTACGATCGATCACAACAGCAGCCTACTGCTTGCTGTGTCCTTGTAGGACGTCCTTACCTCTAGCTCTCCACCGAGCTCGGTGGTGGAGAAGGCCGCCACGCACCCTGGTCGGACTATGCTGCTGGCCTCCTGGACCGCGAACTCCACATCCTAAGACAAGAACAAAAACAAGAACAACAATAACAGTAGCAGCAGTAGTCACGGCAAAACAACAGCAACGGCATAACAGCACGGTGAAACGGTCGCAGTCGATTTAATTGCCGAGGAGACGACGCGACTTCCGTAACGCCAAAAAACAACACAAAACAGAATGGTTCGTCAGGACGGACATGAAAACGGACGGACGGGGGGGGCAACCAACAAACGTCTACGGTACATACTACCAAATGTTTACCACCGTTTGTCTTTTTCTTTGTTGTTATCTGGTCAAGCAGGATTCTCCGATTGACGTTGGACGTTACAGACAGACATGAAAGGAGGCGTGTTGGTTCAGGAGACACAACTCCCACATCAAGCTTGAACCAAAATCATGGTGACTATGCTACGATAACGCTACATATTGGTGGTTGCACCGGCATCGCCCCTCACGCACCTGGGGGTAGAGGTTCCTTCCCCTCACGATGATAAGGTCCTTGATCCTGCCCGAGATGAAGAGGCGGCCGGAGCCCCCAGTCTCCAGCCTGGCGAGGTCTCCCGTGCGCAGGAATACGGTCCTGCCATGTCCATGAGATGCGACAATGGAGCACGCCGCGTTATGTGTGTGTTTTTTTATATTAGTAGCATCGACCGCCCTAACCGGCTGACCAATGAAAAGACGTCAGTCTCAGTGCCGTTGAATGTGTGCGTGTTTCTTTTGGTCTCTAGGGGGACATCATCGTCGCAGCAGCAAGCGCACGCTTTTCAGCACCAAACAACCGCGTGTGACAAGAACAAAAACGCTTCTTTCCAACGTAGTAGGGCCCTGGAATTGGGGTGTGTTCTACCACACCATACAAGAAAAAAAAAAATGATTCCGAATGTAAGCTGATATCGCCGGAGGTTGAGATCACTTATACGATTTCGGGAGGGGGGGGGGCAGGGCACGTAAACGAAACCGCAATGGCTCGTTTCCGAATGATTCTCTCTGTCGTCTTCAAAACTGCTGTTGTCATGGTTGTTCTTGCCGTCTCCAAATCAGAACGTAAGCCCGACTGGCAGGGTGTAGATCGTGGGAAACCGACCTCGGGGCACGTGCTAAATGCAACCACCAAAGCTCTGCGGACATATACACATAGCGTGTGGGAAGATGTAGTTTTCTCCTGGAGTGGGCGTTCTTTCGTCACGAGCAAGACAAGCGCCAGCAACCAAAACAACGTGCCAAACAAAATACACTCTGGAGTACCTTTTTCAGGGTAAGTTAGCCTGTGGCCACGGGAGTCGACCGGTCAATCAGCACGGACAGATGAAGAAACTGGGCAGAGAGATCGGAACGTTTTTTTATGTCAAGACAACAACAACAACAACAACAACAACAACAACAACAAAACTACCGCACTTCGAACAAGCTCTCACCCTGTGGGGTTGTCCGAACCCTCCCCTTGCTCTTCCCCGACAACCCTGGCGTTAAAAGCTTCCTCTGTCAGCTCTGGTTGTCCCCAGTAGCCCGCCGCCACAGACGGGGACGAAAGCCAAAGCTCCCCTACTTCGCCCAACGCCACCTCTCGCCTCGTCTCGGGATCGACAATTTTCAGCTGACGTAGCGTCAAACATGATTGCGGGGGGGGGGTGGGGTGAGCCATGTTAAACGGGGGCGAAAAAAATAAATAACGTGGACACAGCGTCACTTGCCTTATCCACAGCCACGACCACCACACAACAGCAGCAGCACCAGCAGCAGCAGCAGCAGCAGCATACCCTAACCATGCACCCACATATATCCTACAATTTACCTTCGACCCCTCGGAGAGCCTCTCCAGCTGCCCCACGCACTCCAAGTCCTCGTCGGTGAGCTCAGAAAGAGGCCTTCTCCCCAGGTTAGCCTCGTGCTGGCAGACGCCCACCACGTGCTCCGCTAGGCCATAGGCAGTGCCGCAGTAGGCGGGGCTGAGCCCTAACCCCTCGAACGTCGCCGCGAAGTCGCGAATCTGCCGTTCGGCGACGGGGTCACCACATGGCAGAGACGGGGGGGGGGGGGGTACTCTTATGTTTTGAACTTTTATGTTTTGCATGCCTTAGCGGTTAGACCATTGACCCATGAGTCCTCGAGAGGACGCAGCATTGTTCCCACAGGACCGATCACCGATGGCCAATCGTCCCTTCCTGCTTTGCCTAAAAAGGTGGCTCAAAATGGCAGAGACGGCGGGGGAGCGTACTCGTGCTTTGCAGGCTTGGCGGCTAGATCATTGACCACCACGAGTCTGCGATAGGACGGGGCATTGTTCCCACAGGACCGATCACTACTTTGTCGAAGGTGGCTAAAAAAATGCGGTGGGCAGGGCGCGGGATGACAAACAAGATCGGTTTCGGTTGTCTTCAAACAGCAGAAAATATAGGTTATTTCTAAATGCTTTTCTTTCGTTTCATGTGTTGCGCCAGCAGTCCGCACCAGCCGGGGGGGACACAGGACAAAAGGTAAATCACGAGTGCATGAACGAGTAAAACGCTACACGCGCAAGAGGATGAAGCCACGGCAAACGCAAACCGCATGCCATGCCACCCAGCACCATATTGGGAGCATTAATGCCATGGTCTCACCGACGAGGCTCGGATGGGCTCGGCACCGTTCTGGATCCAGTTCAAGGCACTCAGGTCCACAGAGTCGGTCATGGACGCTCGAACCTCTGGAGTGGCCTCGTTCCTGTAGCAACAACAAGACGGAAAATCGGTAAAGGAGAGACGAACGTTTGTGAGGAGAAAGAAGTACTACGTAGCAAATGGAGAAGAAAGAATATGAAAGCAAATTCAGGCTGGTGAACCTAGCTTCCATCCCGCCCTGAACATTGAACGCGCTAACCCCAACACAGTGCTACTTTTTGTTCTGCCCATACTTCAGCCAATCAACCGGATCAACGCCGAAATCGAGAGATGGGGCAGAGTATTCCGCCCCCGCCCTGGAGAAAACACACACACACACAACAAGTGTTTTCAACCGCACTAAGACTGACGTCTTTTCATTGGTCAGCCGGTTAGCGCGGTCGATGTTAATGATAATAAACACACACACACACACACACCTCTCTACCAAATCCCCCAACCTATACACCATTTTGCCTGTTGCCGGGGAAGGTACAGTATCACGTTGAAGAAACAAGAAGAAGGATCAACAACAAACACACGAAAAAGGTTCAACAGCTAGCTCACCACTTTCGCACGCAGAGCCTGAGCGAAAAATCCGGGGCGCAGCCGAACATGGCCCTCTCGGCCGAGAGCAGCCGCAGCCAGAGGAGGGGCTTCCGCACGAAGTCCAGCGGAGACATGTAGCCCATGCGCCAGCCGCTCACGAAGGGCGTGAGGGTGCACATGACTAGGCCCAGGTCGTGGTACTGGGGTAGCCAGGAGAAACCACGGACCCCCCCCCCCTCCGCTCGCCCGGAGAAAGAAAACCCTCGCGACTCGAACGACTGTTTTTTTGTCGGCGTTGTTTGTCAAGGGTGGGCGCAGGCGCGATGGGGGTTACGTTAGGGAGAATGTTTTCCGGTGTTCGGTCATGTGATTGTGCTGTGGACAACACGACGACACTAGTTCGCCGTCACACTTCGCGGGAGTGTGCGAGAAATCCACAGCCAGGCCATGGGCTAGCGGTTGGGGGCAAGTCACACCCCTGGCTTGCTTGTGTAGCGAGGTTGGTTTCATTCCTTCGTCACGCAAAAATAAAGAAATGGAGGGGGGGGGGGGGGGAGGATACTGCTCGCCGCTTGGCATTCTTTCCGTACCGCTTGCGAGACGGGGCACGTCCCCGCCCCCAGACAAACGTTTATACGGGTGTGGGATCTCCTGCCGATGTTGCCAAAATAATGCTTCAAGGGGAGGACGGTCCAGCGTCTCCGACTTCCTGGTGGAGACCCCGCCGACGTCCCACTGAGCCTGTTTCCCACAGGGGAACTATCGCCGTATGTATGCTGCTCGGAGAGGACTAGCAGCACAGGTGGTGTGTCCGCACACGCTATTAATTCAATGCTGTTTAGTTTTATGTATCCCAGACTCTTTCATTTGTAGATAGAGATTAATTCGTTGAGTAGTTGTAAAAAAAAAAAATCCTTCCGATAATGCTCTGGTGTTATCGAAGGCTGAATAGGTTTCAAACACTGAATCAGGTCCGTCCACTACGATTTTCGATTTTTTTTTTCATCCGGGCGAAAGGAGTCGGCGTACGCGTGGGTTTCCACGTCGCATGCATTGCGCAACGTGCGTGTCGATATCCATCTTGATGGTGGTACGGAGATGGTGGTTTGCGATGTAGCTCGTGTGCGTGTAGTTCGAAAAGAAAGAAGCGCCATGGGGAGAAAAAGTCTGGCAGAAAAACGGGGGCCATGATGGGAGATAAACTGTACACGTACACAAGGGACCGAGACCCCTCCCATCCGCACCACCAATACATGTACATAGCAAAATCTTAACCGTGGCAGCAGAGTGCGACACAAACGACCCGACTACTACTACTACTACTTCTGCAGTCGTGCCTCGATCAAGGTCAACAAAATTAAGGAAACTCCTTCGGGTGCGGGCAATTTCTTTTTTCACGGGCATGGTGGCTCGCAGAATGTACAACATGAGAACGGGTATCAACCTTAAAGACACTTCCCCGGCTTGAGGACACTTTTTCTAGCAAAAAACCAGGCGTATCCTTCACCGAGGTTCAACTGTGCGACTACTACTACCACTACTACTACTTCTCTGCATACCACAGACCTATTTAGTCTACAACAGCAGCAGCAGCAGCAGCATCAACAGCAGCAACATCAACAATCTACATACCTTCTCAGACATGCGCGAGATGAAGCGAGCGTTGTGCCCCAGGTTCCCGAAGGTCACCATCACACCCTTCGGCTCCGACGTGCTGCCGGAGGTAAACTGCAAAAACGCCACATCGCCCTCCCCCAGAGACTCCTCGTCAAAGCTCTCCACCCCTACCCCCTTCCGCCCGGGTTGCCCCCCCCCCCCCCGAGCCACTTCGAGATGCCCCCCCCACTGAGAAACTCCTGATGATCTTGCGACCTTGTACGGGAGGTCGGGCCACAGGCGTCGCGCGGACGACACAAAGTTGAGCTTGGACGCCAGTCTCAGGTGGTTGACATCCCCGGAGATTAGGATGACCTTGGGGTCGCAAGCCTCCACTATGCCCTGGAGCTTCGTCAGCGACTTGCTGAGCGTCAGGGGGCTCGGGGGATCTGAGAGGGGAGGGAAGGGAGGGCGGTGTGTGTGCGGGAGGGGGGGAGGGAGTGAGAGGTCCGTAGGAAGAGCCGAGCCACAATAAAGAAACTCAAGACACCCAGTCAGTCCAATGTTGAGCAATCTCGAGCGGGCAGTCGTTCTTAAATGCTACGCATCGAGAGAGAATGAACCTTAACTTCGGGGTGTTGTCCTATTCTTAGCTAGGAATAGCGGCGCTGCTGTCATAGATACCTCTCTTGGTTTGCCGATTCGAGACAGCGACCGAAACACTAAGAGGGACAAAGAGAGAGAGAGAGAGGTCCGGTGGCTTTTCGAGAGAAATCGTAAAGTTGAAACCAACAGAACTGCAAAAAGACGCTTCCTCGATTTTTTCGTACCCTCCATACTCCATACAGACCTGTGTATGCGCCAATCCCTACCGCTACATACAGTAGTACGTTCAAGTTGTTGCGTTTTCGTTAAAACGCTAATGCATGTACAACCTATGCTATATTTTTGTGAGGAACTGGGCGTAGCCTTACACTGCTGTAGACTATAAGACTAAAATAAGACTAAAAAATAACTAGATCAGTAGTGTGAGGCCTCGACAAGCAGACGGTGGGGAGATACCACCCTTTAAGAAGGAGATCTCCACTACAATCAAGTATTTTTTTAATAATTATCGCTCGA